TGCAGCCCTTTCCACCGCCAACAGCTCCGCCAACAAATCTTCCTAATCCGCATCAGTCACAACAGAAAGGTGTTTACCCTCTGCGCGAATCCCAAGAATGGCCTCGACGTCATGCAATATGATCGTCATCTCACCGAATGGAAGGTGGAAAGAGTTCGTATCCGGCTGCCATCGCTCAACGAAAGCCGTGATCAACGTCCAGTCAATCTTATCGTGCATGGTGGCAGGAAGGTGATTCACCCTAGTGCCCTCCAGTCGATCGAACATCTCGCTCTCCACCGGCCAAGACTCAACGCATTTGTTCAAAACGATACAAGTCTTTTCCCGGGTTTGGCATTTCAAAATGCCCGTCACCAAACCCCTCTCCTGGTCCTCCCAGATACGAGTAACTATGTGTCCTAAAAAGCTAGGAATCACACTCCCGTCTACAAGCCCCCCAGGCACCTTACCCTTAACCATCCAAGAATCATTAACGGCCCTCGACCGTTTTCTGCTTGCCCCAGACACGGTGGATGCAGATGATGTGCCAGGTCGACTAACAAACCTTCTATCCCTACCCTTACGCACATCTACCCTATGCGTCTCGTACATGTCATCTAGCCTCTGATTGAATGGACCGTAATCATCATATGGTCCACTCCCATCGTCCACATCCTCGTATGCGCCCTCCTCCTCCTCCTCCTCTTCCTCATCATCATCATCATCTTCATCCTCATCCCGATAGTGAACCCGTTCTCTACGAGCCGAGGCCGAAATACCACGGGATCTAAGATGTCTGGGCCCCGAGCTCTTCATCGAGTAGTTTCCACTTCTAATAAGGTCTAGATTCTTCCCCGCACCATGGCGAAAATGCGACACCTTCAAAAAATTAAACAATGTACACACATAAAAAAAATTATACCAAAAACCAAATAAAAAAACTAAAAAAATACTAGCAAAATAACCTAAAAAAGAAATTAACAGAACACTTAAAATAAATTAAAGAAAAAAATATACACAAAAAAAAGAAAAAAAAACCAACACATAGAAAATATATATAAACATACAAGAAAAATTAAAAAAAAAATAAACTAAACAAAAACATTATCAACTAAACAGAAAAACGTACTAACAGAAAACAAACATTATCAACTAACAAATACAAAAAAAAATGTACAAAACAAACATACAAAGAAATGTAACTGAAGTATGAACGTTTAAAAAAATACAACAAAATTGAAAAAAATTTATACAAATAAACAACAAAATATACAAAAACAAAAAAAAAAAACTGATTTTTTTTAAAAAAAACACTTAAAAAAACATAAAACAAAAACAAAATTTTAATTTAAAAAAAAAGTACTAAAAAAAACAAAAAACAAAAATCAAAATAAAAATAATGATTTTCAAAAACATAAACAAAATAAAAATACTCTGATTTTCAAAAATGAAAACTTAAAAAAACAAAAAACAAAAAAAAAAACTCTAATTTAAAAATAAAATTACTTAAAAAAACAAAAAACAAAAAAGAATTCTGGTTTTCAAAATAAAATTCTGCTTTTCAAAAAAAAACAAAATTAAATTAAATTTTATTAAAACCGGGCGCATGAGGAGGACGTCACGCCGGTGGTGGCGGAGCCTGGGGAGGACGCTAGAGCCGTGGTGGCGGCGTCCTACCCAGACGCCTGGGCCATGGCGGCGGCGTCCTACCCAGACGCCTGGGCCGTGGTTCCGGCGTCTGCACCTGGCGCCATCACCACCGGCGTGGCATCCTCCAGGCGCCCCGCCTTGCCACGACAGATTTTTTTTTTTAGGAAAAAAACCAACCTTTCCACCGTGAGACCTCCTTCTCTCCGCCGCCGCCGCCGCTAATTCCTTGCCTTGCCGCCTTGACATTGCCGTACTTTGAATTTTTTTTTTAAAAACGTGGAATGAAATTGGGTGTAGATTTTTTTTTTGGGTGATGAGTGAGTGTTTCTTTTTTTTTTGGTCAAGGGCAATATTGTCAATTCAATGGAATTTTGTGGGCTTTAGTTGGTAAATTATTGTAGGCGATGTTTAGCAATCAACTTAAAATATTGCTCAAAATATCCTAACTTATTCTATCCAAAATTAACAACTTTAATTATGGATAATCACCAAATTCACAACTTTTGAAATTTGATTTTATCCCAAAATAAAATCTGATTTTATTTTGAAAATATTTTAAAACAAATTTTTTTCTTTTTGAAATTGCCGCACCATCGCCAGCCACCTTCGTTGGCCAGCCGGAGCTAGCCACGGTGGTTGGACGCTCTTCCAGCACCCACCACCTTACGGCATTAGCGGACAACAACAGCAGCTGTAGCTACAGGCCACCGTTCGTGGCCAGCCAAGGCTAGCCACGGTGGCTGGACACCGCAAGGTGGCCACTATCGTAAGGCAGCAGCAGCTACAGTAGCAGTGTGAAACTATTGCATGGCTGCTACCCTTGGTCGGACCACCTGCCCTCCCTACCCTCCCTCTTGGATTTACAACGGTCGGCAGCCACCCAGTCATGGCTGCCGACCACTTAAAACCCCATTTTTTTTATTTGAATAAAACAACTTTTCTAAAAGTTAAATTAAATCATTCCAATAATTAAAATTAAATTCCAATTCAATTTTAAAATTAGGGTTCATCATAAAATTAATTCCAATTTAATTCTAACTCTTAAAATTAAATTGCTAAATCATACATAAAACATTTTTATGTAGGATTCAACCTAATTAAAATTATGATGCATAAAACAAATCGAATTTAACCAAAAGCAAGCACAAAAATCAAAATTTAGGGTTATGATTTTCGAAAAATTCGAAATTTAGGGTTAGGGTGTTCGAAAATTTCGAACATTTTAGGGCTAAAATTCGGTCCTCTCTAGGATATTTTGAGCAAATTAAATTACATTAAATTAATTCCAAGCGTTAAATCACATTTAATATAATAATTGAACCATAATTAAATTAATTTTCCCCTTAGTTGATTATAAATCATGAATATGGACTTCAAATAATCGTATTATTATAATCAAGCGTGTTCATGCAAGAGGCTAACTGATACCACTGTAGGGATTTAGGTATTCTAAGCAGAATTTCATGAATCATATTCATACGCACCTAAAACAAGATCGTATGCATAACACACAAGAATCACATAATTATACCTTTAAAGCGTGATCTCCACGTAGCAAGTTGATTGACAATTAGGGAGAGAATAGAGCCCCAAGCGTTGCTCCTTTACTTAGTCCAAGGGATTCGAAGGAGCTTTCCACCAATACTAGATTGGTCAGATGAAGGGGAAACACCGCAATCCCCACCTTTATGGACAATCGACCACCACAACGAACACCACCATCACGCACACTAACGCAAAGAGGGGAGCGAGACATGTGAAAGAGAATGAGAGGTTAGGTTTTGTGTTTTCTAATTAGGGTTTGATCTAACTGATCAGTGAATTCTTATTGTCCAACCCTAGGCACCTAGTCTATTTATAATCATATTATAATTAGACTAGGAAGCAAAGCCCAAACCCTATAAAGTACTCCATATGATCGGCCACCTAGAAGGAGAAGGCCCATCATGGGCCCCTTCCTCTTATGCTCAATCTAGCCCTTTGTGTGACCTTATAGGATCCGTTCAGTTGGGCTTTAGACTATTTTAGTAGCTCAAAGATCGTTAATACCTCTAGCTATGATAAAACGACGACCCAAAAGAACGAACTTAATTATCTCCATAATTTGATCCATTTATATATTTAGTAATTGCACTAGACGAAGACATAAAACCTTCAATAGCATGCATCATTAATGTAATATAATGTATACTACTTTTAAATATTTTCAACACAACTAATCAACAATAAAAAATATATTAAAAAAAAAACAATTCTCAATTGTAGTTTAAATTTTTTTTGCCTAATTATATTATTTTTATGCATTACATTTGTTTATTCAACATGAGTTGCCTCATTATTTTTATTATGTCACAATTAACTATGAGAAAAATATTACTACTACCGTGCATCGCACGGGCACTAATCTAGTATCATAAATTACAAAGTGTAAGAATTATTCCCGATCCTAATAAGGTTTTAAGCTCGCGAGCCAAGCCCATTGCTCAGCCCAGAGCCATCTTTACATGATCAAAGTGATTGTCCATATGTCTTGTGAAATTGAACCAATAAGGAATAATACTTGTAATCGTGGTTTGGGCTAGAGTAATTATACTAACGCTAATAGTACATCTACCACAATAATTAGGGGTGTTTGCAGTGTGGTTTGGATCCTAAACCTCACCAAACCGCAAAATTACGATTTGTATTTTTTTCAAACTGCATTAGTTTTGTCATACATTTGTAATGCACAAGAGGTTTCATAAGAGGTTGAGTAGTGCCATCATTCCTTATACTTCCTTACATTTCTTTCTTCTTACCATATAGAAAACAAAAAATAAAAAATTAACCTAATGCCCAAGAGTGGTACGGTGGCATGAGATATGTATGTACACTTTTAAGAACACCTTAACTATATGATTATAGTCCTACTCGTTCATAGATTTTATATGATTGAGAAGGACTTTAATAAACATTTTCCTTAAAAACAAAGAGAAGATATACTTCCTTCGTTTTTTTTTTTACTTGACCTGTTCCATTTATTATGTTAGGCAGTGTAAAACTTTAACTATCAATAACTCTAATTCTACATAAGTAAAAATTTTAAAAAGTTATATATTATGATAATATATTTATTTAGACAATTTTAACCACGAACATCCCACATGAATATATTTTTTCTTATATATAATTCACAAAAGATGGTCAAAGCAAGGTTGGTGAATAATATAAAAGTCAAAGTGGATGAAGTAAAAAAGACCCGAAGAAGTATATTTTTTTTATATTAAGAAATTATAAACTTCGTATGAAACTTGAGTCTAAAAGCAATATGCACATTAAACACATAAAATCCTTCTCATTTCACTATTCTTCTCACTTTAACATTTAAACTAAATTAAATTGTGGTGCAGTAGGAATAAAAAATCTTTTCTCTCTCTAGGGAGCTCTCTCTCTCTCTCTCTAATCCTCTGCCATGGCGAGGAAAAAGAGAACAAGGATTCTGCTAGAGTGCCTGAAAGCCAAAAGAAATCTGATATTCGTGATGAGATTGAGATTGCAAATAACATGAGCACAATTTCGAAGACGAAATCGAGAATGAATGGTGAGGGTATTCCGCAATTGAACTTTGATGATGCTAAGGATCTGGAGGATTTCATCCTATCGCCTGAACAATCTATTCAAGAATTGATTCAAGGGTCTCGACAGAAATCTCAGCTTATTGAATGGTTAATTGGGATGACTACTGCTGTGAAGAGGAATACTACTGTTCCATTACCAGATGACAGAGCATCAGAGAAGGAGGTATGTAATTCGATTAAACCCAAATTGCAGCTTACTTTTGATGATGTTTCTGAGGAATTAGATTACTGGGAAATTGGGTGAAAGTTGATAACCTACAACAAGAGGGGGGTGAATTGTAGTATGAGTGAAATTCAGAACTTTTTGCGGAATTAAAACTAAGTAGAACTTTTGTAATTTTCCAATATGTAAATAAACTCTTTTACAAGTTAAGAATAAAACTCGTAACAAGTTCCACAAGATTGGAACTTGTTCCCAACTCTCACAAAAACTTCAACTATGAAGTTCCTTAACCTCACTAATTACAAATCTCACAATTCCAATACCCAATATCTCGATTACAAATTGCATACAAGACCTAAGTACACTCAAGAATGTAAGAGAAAAATAAGAACTCTCTTTACGTTATTTTGTTCACTGAAATATTAAAGCTCAAGAAGTGTGTATTGCAAACCATAAGTCCGTGGCTTTTTATAGAGAAGTTTAATCCTTAACTTCCACCTTACCACTAACATGTCAACCCCCACTAACAAGTAGTGGAGAATCGTGACAGTGGTCAAAGGTAGTGGAAGTTTCTTAAACTTCTCCTTAACCCACGTAAATAACTAACTTGTTAAAGAATAGCTCCTGAAAACGGTTTTACTGAGATATTCATGCAACAAGAAACGATTTATTTGACTTCTTCAAATATTTTGTTTTAAAAAGATTTTATTTGAAAAGATTTTAATGAAAAAGATATTTTTTAAAATATTTATTTATTAAAAACTAATATGATAACTAAACTTAAAAAGATAATTATCTTATTCAAAATATTTAACTAGATTACTTTAATCATAAAATATCTTTTCCAAAATTAAATCCACTTATTAAAAATAGTTTTATCATAAATCTTTAAAACAATTTTTATTCAAGTTAAATTAATAACGTGATTCATTGAGTTCCTTTCTAGCCTATATTATTGAGTGCTTACAATTATAACTAGAACGTAAGATTTGCATGAGGCCTTTTTGAGGATGCTACTCCGCATCCCTTGAATCGAGTTCCTACTCCGAAACGAACTTTGCTTGAACCCTTTATTCACCAAAGACTTGAAACATCTATTAGTCAAGTTTGTCAGTTTGTCCATCAAAACCAAAAAGGTCAACAAATTCCCCCTTTTTGATGATGACAAACACTGACAAACTTAGACAAATAAAAATCGTCCAGGCTTGCAATAATGAAATAAAATTAAAACCAACAGACTAATTAAAGAACTTGGATAAGAACTTTAATATATTATTTTACTTGAGCAGAAACAGTAAACTAAATACTTCTTAAAAAACTTTATGAAATTCATGAAAAATTAAATTAAGGACTTTATTATTAGCATGAACTTAGCAAACATTATTTGACAGTTTGATGAATTTTATACCTTTATTATGTGTCTGGTCTTGGCAACACCTTAGCCTCCATGAAGTTTGTCTTTTCCCCCTTTTGACATTATCAAAAGAGCAAAAATAACAGTATGCTATACTCCCACTAGACTACGGAGGGAATAGTAAGCCCAAATATAGCAAGGCAAAGACATATTAGGTATTAAGCCATCAACAAACGCACATCACCATATGTCAAAAGATATGAGCCAAGTTCCAATAAAAACAGAAATGAAACAAAGAAAGTGTAGCAGAATTAGGAAATACAGACCAAAACTAAATAAAACAAACAAAACCAAAAAATTCAAAGTTTCAAGTTTGTAAACTGCAATCAAGGTGAATAGACAGCTGGATTATTAGGGTCATTGGATGGGTGGGTAGGGTCATTGGAATCTTCCTCCACTTCCTCAAAGGTCACCCTGTTGATTGTCTCCAAGATCTCCTTGGTGCTCCCCATGATCGTCAACTCTTTCTTCAATCCCAGTAATGCTGGTTGATTGGGTTCCCATTACAGCTTGAAGTTGTCGCTGAAGATTGACCTGCATCTTTGCTATCTCTTCCATCTTTGTGCTAACCATCTTTGTCAGCTTCTGGAGATCTGTTTTAACCTGTTGAATATCAAAGACAGAAGCACTTGTTCTAGAGAAGGCAGCAAAGCCAGTAGGCTGTGATGGAGGAGAAGGCTGGATAGGAGAAGGTTGTTTGGGTGGTGGTGGATCAGGAATAGAAGAAGGTTCAGAATCAAAAGAAACTTGGGTAGGAGTAAAATCAGGATTAGAGTGGTCAGAAGAATTGATGTCCTCTACATTCACAGGCTGTGTAGGAGGAAAGGATGTTTTAACAAAATTTTGCTTACTCCTTCGAAGTGCCCCCTTAAACACAGGAATAAAAGGATTTTCTTCATTACTCTGTGTTTCCTATCACTCTTTCCTCTCACTATGTGTTTCCTCTCCTTTTTCAGTTTCCTCAATTGTTATTTTTTCTTCTTTTTGTGCTTCCCTCTCAGATTGATTTTCCTCACTGTTTTCTTTACTCTCTTCTTTTTCTGATTCACTGCCCTTTTCTTCCGAATCACTCATATCACCCTCAATTTCCTGCTTCTTCCCTTTCCCACTTGGTTTCTTCTCACCACCACGAGGCATAAAGGCAAGTTTCCCATTTTCCAGTTTAAGGCTTAGGCGAAGTAGGAATTGTTCTAATAGTGTGTTTTCGGGTTTAAGGTGGGTAGGTGACTCACTTTCGACATCAATGCCGAAGGACTTAAACACCACAGTAAGTAGAGACCCATAAGGAATAGTTGTTTTAGCAGCATAAAAAAGCAAGTGTTCAATCATCAATTTTGGAAAATTTATTTGTATTTTACGGGCAAGGCAAAAGATGATTGTTGCATCGAGTAGAGACATTGTGCTGCGTTTTTGCAAACGAGGTACAATACCTCTCCATGTGAAATTGAATAATAATTTGTGAAGAGGAGAGAGTATGTTCTGGTGAGCCCTCAGTGGATGAAGGTTTAGATGGTGGAGACTGTGTTTTTGGTGGTTTCGGTGTGGTGTTGAGGTTGGTATTCATGGTGTGGAAGGGTGTAAGGATGAGAGGAACTTGGTTGTGAAAGGTAAGAGAAGATGAATAGTGAAGGGGAGAAGGAATGTAATGCCGGTTTAATTGATTTGATTGTTGAGGGTGGAGTGTGGAAGTGGAAAAGTAAAATGGGTAAGTGTGAGAAGTAATGGGTGACGGTTTAATGTGGTGAGTTAGTGGGTTGGATTTTTAGAGGTAGTGGGATTTAATAGGGTGGGTGACAGTTTAGGGGTATGAATTTGGATGGGTTTAATATAAGTGGTAATTGCAATTTTCAAACTTAACAAAACAAAAGATAAACTTTAAAAGATAAAAATTCGGAAGTTAAGGAGTAGTGGGTATACAAGCTCCTTATCTTACGGTGAAAATCTTTTTGTATTTTTGAATTTTATGAAGAATGGAAAGATTTAAAGAAGGAAAATAAAGGATAAGAATAAAGATAGAATAAAAGATAATAACAAATAAATTTGAAATTAATGAAATAAAGGAAAAAAAAAATGAATAAAAGATATGTACAGATAAATCGTAAATTATGATGATAATTACGTGATCAGAATACAGAGTTTATGATTATATAGGAAATGAACTTGAAACAACACGACTCATAATTTTCAACATATTAACAACATACACAAGTGACTTTTCAATACTTTCACACACTTTTCCCCTGGGTAATTTGAACTGTGTTATGCACACAAGGGTGAGCATAGCATTGTTAGATGCATTCGATTTTACCTTAGGGGTTCCAGACATAAATCACTTGAGCCGTAGCATTCCCAATTCCACACACATCTTTTCGAACTTGTCTCTGCTTAAAGGCTTAGTCAATATATCAGAAATTTGACATTCAGGAGAGATAAACTCTAATCTAATTAAGCCTTTTTCAACGTTTATCTTTCAAGAAGTGATGTCTTACATGTATATGCTTGACTTTAGAATGTTAAAATGGATCTTTAGAGATGCAAATGGCACTTGTATTATCACAATGAATAGGAATGCACTCTAAAACAATACCAAAGTCACGCAACTGTTGCTTTATCCAAAGCAATTGAGAGCAACATGCAGCAGCAACCACATATTCTGCTTCGATAGTGGAAAGAGCGACTGTGTTTTGTTTCTTGGAACTCCAAGAAACCATGCAAGAGCCTAAGAATTGGACCATACCTGACGTGCTTTTAAGATTTACTAGATCACCAGCATAATCAGCATTGGCATATCCTCTTAGGTCAAACGTATCACTCTTTGGATAAAACAGACACAAGTCTTCCGTCCCTTTTAAATATTGTATAATTCTTTTGACGGCTGTAAGATGCGATTCCTTCGGTTCTGACTGAAATCTTGCACAAAGACCTACACTGAAAGAAATGTCAGGTCTACTAGCAGTTAAATATAACAAGGAACCAATCATACCTCTGTATTTTGTTTGGTCCACACGAGTTCCCTTGGGGTCTTCGTCCAACCTTGTGGTTGTTCCCATGGGAGTGTGGTTGATCTTTGTGTTTTCCATACTGTATTTTTTCAATAACTCCTTCACGTACTTCTGCTGATGAATCATTATTCCTTCGTCAGTTTGTTTAATTTGGAGCCCAAGGAAGAAGTTGAGTTCCCCCATCATGCTCATCTCAAATTCACTGCTCATCAAATCAGCGAAATACTTGCATAAAGATTCGTTAGTTGCACCGAAAATGATATCATCAACATAAATTTGCACAACTAATAAATGGGTTCCTTTTGATTTTAAAAACAAAGTTTTATCAACTTTTCCTCTTTTGAAATCATAATCTAAAAGGAACTTAGAAAGTCTTTCATATCATGCTCTCGGAGCTTGTTTTAATCCATACAACGCTTTATCAAGTTTGAAAACATGGTTAGGAAAGTTTGGATCTTCAAATCTAGGTGGTTGTTCAACATAGACGTCTTCTTTTAAAAAACCATTTAGAAATGCACATTTGACGTCCATTTGATAAAGCTTAAAACCCATGAAGGCAGCAAAAGCTATTAAAATACGAATTG